TACTATTTAATATTTCCGCGATATTTTGAAATTATATACATTAATATATATTCTTTCTAGTATTTTAGGAGCGAACAAATCATAATTTATATATTTTATAAATGGGAATACATTCGGGTAGTGTGGTGTTGTCGTGTAGGTAGAGTCTAAGCTACTGCCCGGCAGTACTCACCCATCATTCAGCAAACTAGTTATAGTGACCGTATGATGGCGCCAATTACCAGTCAAAATCATTCTTCCATACGTAGCACTAAGTTCGTCACGTACTGTTTGTGAAGACATGTGTTTCGTCAATAGAATCTCCACTCTCAATATAATGGGCAGAAGTAATTACTCCTAAATTCTGATAATGTTCTCCTAAATTCCACCAAATTACCACCTACATATTTTTGAAGAAAAAAGTTTGAAAAGTTAATAAAAAAAATAGATTTCTTCCAAATGCAGAGTGCCCCAAGGCCCGCGATTAAACGCCTACGGTCAATTCGGTTATCGAGTTCGATAATATAACCCTACCACCATCTCTCGGCATTTTTCGAACGCTGTTTTCATGTTCACTTCTGCCCATTATATATTTTTTATAATTTATCCCAAAATAATCAAACAAACATCACCAAATGCATCAAATAATCCACCTTATTCATCCCACATCATTCTTTCATCTGTTTTCATCGATTTCTGCCTGTTTTTCATCCAAAAATTGCATCCACGCAACATACACACTACATCCACGCTATAGCGTAAATTGATGGCAAGTTCATAAATAGAGAAAGAATTGAAAAAACGCTTCCTTATCTTCATGGCTGCAAAATAGAATTTAATATCACGAATGGTTCATGTTTCATTCATCAGCGGTTTCCGATATCGCCCTTGAATCCACACTCTGTACATCATTAATTGTTTTCCCCGGTTTACTTGCAATCGTCTGTCAATAATATTTTGCTCCTCTTCAAAGCCAGATTTGATGAACAAGTCTCGTATTTCCTCTTGAGTGAAAAAATACACCATCGTCCCATCACCTCTAGCATAGAAATTTTCCGCCAGACATCGACCCCTTTTGAATCTCAACTGAGCCATGTCATATCTTCCATAGTCACGAATTAAAAGCAACCCTCCAGGTTTAAGATATCTAAATACTTGTCGTATGATGTGCTTTTGCCTGAAATTAGACGTTATTCATCAATTTAAGTGCTCATTACGTTGTGCCTTCACTCGTAAATCAATGAAAGCTTTTTGTTGTAGACGAGAAAAATTATTCAACGAAAATCCTTATCTGATCAGAATATTAGACACCAAAAAATGGAAATTAATGATTTCTGTGATGTGAACGATAGGCGCAGTGATAATCAAATTTCACATCGAGTTTCATATTGCTCTGTTTTGATTTTAAGAATTTTATTGAGAATTATAGCCGAAATTGATTTAAACAAGTAGGTTGGAATTTTGAAGAAATTGTTAAATTTAAACGTGTCAGTAATCCTTCTTACAAATGAATTTAGAGAACTTTTAAATATATACATACTTGTCAGGTACAATGCTGGACAACACAAAAATTAGAAGAGCGATATCGAGAGTCTCTTCTCGAAAGGGTGGCTCCCAATTCTCTGTAGTAGCATCTAACACAAAAACTTTGCATCTTGTCTCATCATAATCCGGATTCAACTTTAAAATCTCGATGGCAGTCGAAGAAAAATCGCACCCATATACAACCAAATTTGGATTAGAATTGTACATTAAAATTGGGAAAATTGT